TTTGTACTTGTTGGTGCAGAACTTTGGTTTTTTGGATGTTAAGTGATAGGCCAAGCTTTTCATAAGCTTCTGCAAAGATATTTAGGATGGTTTGGAGGTCATCTTCTGAGTGTGCGCACACTACGTTGTCATCAGCATACTGAAGCTCTATGGTGGAAGTTATGGTAACCTTACTCTTTGCTTTCAGCCTGCTCAGATTGAACAGCTTTCCATCTGTTCAATATATGATTTCTACTCCGGTGGGGAGTTTCCGTTCGACAAAGTGTAGGATCTTGGCAATGAAAATAATGAATAGAGTTAGGGTAATAACACAACCCTGTTTAACACCTGATCCCACTGTGAATGATACACTTTGAGATACATTGTTATCTGCAATTGTTGCTGTCATATTATCATATAATATTATCATATTAACCCACTCGCTGGATCATTACCTTGTCGTGGTGAGTGGGCTTGCATGTTTCCTATGACCCTTGTGAGTGAAGCTCAAGAATATCAAGGTGGCCGCAAGGCTCATGTTTAAACTGTTGCTGTTTAGACTCTTTTGTCTATATGGATATGGTTTTTTTATATATATTATGCAATTTTAGTTCGTGTTTGTGTTTATGCAGGGCAGGGGTGTTTTTTGTGGTGCTCTTCAAAAAAAAAGGGGGGGGAATTAATTCAACTATTCTCCATCCATTTTTAATGAGAAAAGAAATTGCACTTGAAAATTAGCAAAAGGGGAGAGAAATTTTCAGTAAAATCTCCATGGGTGGGGGTTTGTGGGCTTTATTGTGCCTACCTTACTTTCAAGGTGACTGAGCGGGTTTTGTGAGTCATCGTCTTCTTCTTTGGCAATCACTCATAGCCGAGTAAGATTGTCTTCCATAAACACGGTTTTAACAGTGAGTCCGTAAATGACTGCAAAGGGCAATTCTGGATCCACACATCCTTCCACAGTGGGGACATTGATTTCTGGGTGGGAGATGATCACAGTGGGGGTTTGCCAAGTGTGCCTTCTCATAGCATGTTTCTCCCTTTCGTCCTGAGTTTGAGCGACTTCAACGACCATGACACCTTTGGTAAAGACTGTTTTCCAATTGGAGCGCTCGCAGGCCAGTGTTTCCCAGTTGTCGGTGTTTATACTACATTTTTTTAGATTTGCCTTGAGAGAGTCTTTAAACCTCTTTTGTTGACCACCAACATTACACTTTCCATTTTAAAGTTCAGAATAGAGTAGTTGCTTTGGAAGACAATAATCAGGCATCCGCACAACATGACCAGTCCAACGAAACTGATGTTGAAGAATCATTGCTTCAACACTGGTGAACTTTGCTTCTTCCAGTACTCAGGCATTAGTTTGCCTGTCTTCCTAAGTGATGTGTAAAAACTTTCAGAGACTCCATTGATGGAATCTTTCGAGGAGCTGGAGGTGACGTTTATAAGTGGTCCATGTTCTGCAAATCATCTGCCTGGTGCCTGGCTGCACTTTCTGAACATAAGAACATAAGTCAATGCTGCTGGATCAGGCAGGCCAGAAGCCCACCTAGTCCGGCATCCTGTTCTCACAGTGGCCAACCAGGTGCCCCCATGGGAAGCCCCCAAGCAGGAATTGAGCACAACACCAGTGTTCTCTCCATTTGTGATTCCCAGCCAACTAGTAGTACACTGCCTCCAACTGTGTAAGCAGAACATATTCGTGAGAGTCAGTAGCCATTCCTAGCTTTATCCTCTGTGAATTTTTCCAACCCTCTTTTAAAGCCATCCAGGTTGGCAGATTAGACACCAGCAATTCTATATTTCAAGTCCAGGCTCGGCACCCATTTTCAAGAGTGTCGGGAAACATATAAAACATGCCATAATGTGATTGTTCCCTTGAGCGCTCCAAGTTCATGGTTAAGTTTGATGTGTAACCTTAACAGCACAATCCATTGTTTGGATCCCTGACTCCCAATGCAGAAATGCATTGCAGTGCAATGTCTCCAGCAACGGCTCCCAAACCTTGAGCCTTGCCAGCGTTCCTTGTGCCTTGTGGGATGGCACAAATAAATAAATAACCATAATGCGCTGCAAGCTTCACAAGGACAGGGAGAAGTTTAAAAAATAGATCATATACGTAAGCCACATAGCTGTCAACGTTTCCCTTTTTTAAAGGGAAATTCCCTAATTCCGAATAGGATTCCTCACAAGAAAGGGGAAAAGTTGACAGCTATGGTAAGCCATGTGCTAAATTGGGACACCTTCTAGCTTCAGTTTCCCCCCTGCTCGTGTGCTTGGGTGAAAGTTATGGAGGCAAGTATAAAACATAGGGAGACACAATTCTTTGTAATGTTGGAATGGTCTATGCTTCCCTGAGCATGTACGAAATGCCTTGCATAGAAGACAGAAGAGAGGCTAAAACTTCCAAGTGTGCAAAAGCGGTCATCCTCCCCCCCCAATGTTTTAGCTTACAACTCGCCATCAGCCCCAGCCACAACTACTAGGGCTGGTGGGAGTTGTATTGCAAAAGGGCACCAGGTTGGGCAAGGCTGGGCTAGAGGTACATCTAACTTTGCCAGTGATGAAATGCAGAATTCTCTTCTTCACAAGTCATCTTGTTTGAAAGGAGGGGGGGGAAACCTCTAAAGCTGCAGTATCCGTCTTCCTAATCACCAGCAAGGCAATATAAGTCCTTCAGCAGTGCGGCGCGATAAGAAACAGCAAAACAAGTTAAGAGATAAGAAATGACATTTTTATAGGCACGCAAGCCTGGCCTTCACGCCTGTTCACTTGGAAGTGAGTCTCACTCATCTCCAGAGGACTTGCTCACTAGTCTGTGTGCTTAGGATTGCAGCCTGCATCACCTCAGAAGTAAGACCCAGTGATTTCAGTGGGGTTTCCTCCCAGGTAAACAGTCCCAGGATTGCAGCTGTAGCCACCAGCATCTTGAATTGAAGTTCTGAAGGAACTTTCTCATTGGCAAGGCGTGAATAACGACATTGGTAATCCTTGCACACACAATGGGTGTGTGTGTGTGTGTCCTGTTGCTGGTTTGTTGAGTTCTGTTTTGACACTTGTTAAAATTGTGTCTTCATGCTTGGGAGACAGAAGCCAAACCACCAAGCTTGCAAACTCCTAAATGCCAAGGCCAGTTGTCTTCATTAACACAGCAATCAGCTTTTTTGGGAGGGGGGGAGTTGGAGAGAGAGAGAGAACACGTATTTGGTTCTGTTTAGCAGAAGCCTGATGAGCTTCTAGCTTTGCGGCTTTTTATTTTGCTTTCCTCCTTCTCAGAAAAGACTGAAATCGGCCTCCGTGCTGCTGGCTGTGCCCAAATGAAGGGCCAAATGGAATAAATTGGAACTGATTGTCATCCAATTAGCGGCCTGGGCAGTGAGGTGAGGCCTCGTCTCACAAGAGCTGAAGAAAGTGGGGGCTTAGCAGAGGGAGGGGGGCTGCCAGCTTTCCATTAATCATCAGAGAGGCAACAGGGAGGCAAGTTCCTCAGCAAAGGTCCTGAAGGGAGAACATTCTTTCTGGAGGACTGACAAGGAAGTGGCTCCCAACAATGCCTCAGGGCCATCCTGCACAGTGCATCAGCCTTTTCCCCAAACTGGTCCCCTCCGGTTGATTGGGAGTCCAGCTCCCAGAAGCTCCAACCCAGCATGCCCCATGGCCAGAGGTCACGGGAGTTGCGAATGGAGAGAGGCAGATCTGAGCTGGTCAACCAAGCTCCTTCCAAGGGAGTGCAACCCTCTCCAGGGTGGGCAGTTGTCCAGTTTGGGAACATCTGGGCACCCCTCAAAAAAGACATGCATCCCAGGAAGGGACCCATTGACTCCTCCATTCATCAGTGCAGCCTGCTTAGCTGAGATGCCAGTGGCAGGGAGGAGGAGGAGGAGGAGGAGGAGGAGGAGGAGGAGGAGGAAGAAGAAGAAGAAGAAGAAGAAGAAGAAGAAGAAGAAGAAGAAGAAATAGCTGTTGATGCCACAGCCTGTTTGCTCTTTGGTTCTCTGTGTGGCAGACGAGAAGGTGATAGGCCAGAGGCAGACTGACTAAGGGAGGGAGCTACTCTTGCCCCAAGCCCCTCCAGAAGCTGAGATTCGCACGAATTCATTCAATGGTAGCACCAAAACCGTGGAGGTCCATGCCTGCTCTGGAAGCCATTTCCTCTTCATTAGAAGCTGTGTCCCGAACCTCCATTGCATAGGGGGCTGCTGATTGCAATGGGCTGGGCTAGTCACCAACTTGGATGGCTTTAAGAGAGAACTAGACCGATTCATGGAGGGGAAGGCTATCAACAGCTGCTAGACGCAATGGCTATGCTCTTCCTTCACAGTCAGGGGCAGCAATGCTTCTGAATACCAGTTGCTGGAAGCTACAGGAAAGGAAAGTGCCCTTGTGCTTGAATCCTGCTTGTGGGTTTCCCACTGGGGCATCTGGTTGGCCACTGTGAGAACAGGATGCTGTACTAGATGGACCACTGGCAGGTCTCTTCTTACGTCTTTATCGCTCAGTGGCGGGGAGAGAGGAAGCACTTTGGATGCCTGGATGCCTGCGATTATTTTACTCCTGAAGGGCTGTTTGCTCTTATTAAATGCTCAGCTTCTTCCACAGAGCAAAATGCTGACGGGTGTTGAACGTGGAATCCCCCCAGCAAGAGGCCCGAGCACCCTGGACTCCCTGTGGATTGGACACTTCCCAGATTCACCTCACCGGCACTATTGGGGTGGGAGCTCTGGAGGCCTGAGAGACGTGCCCACCGCTTGCAGGCCTGCGAAGCTTTTCACAGGAGGCTTCCTTGCCAGCTGCCGGGATTCCTCTGAGGCGGAGAGCAGTCAGAGAAGCATGAAATGGTGGGTTTCTGAGGGGGAAAAAATCTGTCAGCAGCCTTCAGAGTTTTGCGTCTCCAGTTGTGCTCATTCTCGGCTTTGGATTGGGTGAGGTGGTGTTCAGATAGCTAATGACAAATGTGCCCAAATCTCCATCTCCACACCTTGCCAGGAAGCCATTAGTTTGATGTGTTTCTCCCACCTTAGAAGTTGGGGATTTACCAGACCATTGAGCCATTTGGGGATAAGGATGCAACCCAAATCCAATGACACAGATTCTGGAATCTGACCAGGTGGAATATTGGGTGCACACGGGGGGGGGGGGGTGTTGCAGAAAGCTCCACCCACACGGCACCCCTTCCTATGGCCATGGTGCCAGCATGTGTTGGTGACACCAGCCAAGGCATGGTGATGGGGGTGTCCCTTGTCCTTAAATAACCCCACAAAGCCCGAGTTATTTCAGACCAGAATGGCGAGGCTCCCAGCATTTCTCAGATGGAAGCCAGACACTTTTGTGGATTTGTAACACCTCAAATCTGAGGGACGCTGCCTCCACGCCGCACACTGCCAAAAACTTTTTGCCACTCAGCATGGCTTGCATTCATTTAATCCTCTGTAGAATGACCCTGTGTCAGCTTCTCAAAGAGATGTGCAGTGGTGTGTGTGTGTGTTTTAAGGGTGCTTGTCTTTCAGAACACAAGACTGTTTACTAGATTGTTTGGTTCACAATGGAGCTGGTTGTACTTATTATTGAAACCTCGCAAGGCAGATTCACCTTCTTGGTGAGGTTGCTTTCAGGGGCTGGATAAAAATGGGAAAGGATTGTGCTTCAAAGCACTTTAAAGGGGTAATCCTTTGTACACTCCTAAGGGGGAAAGACTCCTGGAGTCCCCCGGGGAGGAAGCCTCACTGAACACCATTGTGAGCCTTCATTTTGAGAAAACATGCAGAAGAGTCTGCAAATAATTTGGTGTGTTTTTTTAATAATAAAAAAGCTGGTCTCCCCCCATCTGTCCAGTGCCCCCCCTCCAAACAGAATGTGTCCAGAGAGTGCCCTGTGGTTTTCAGGAGTGCCCTGGCAGATGAGGAAAGGTAGCAAATGTTGAAGACCCTTTCCTCTTCACTGTTAGCGACTTTCCAAGATTTCAAGTCATTTCTTTTGTCTGCCCCAAATCTTCCAACGTTTGACTTCATTGGATGTCCACAAGTTCTAAGGTTGCATTTGTCTTGGAACTCAGATGAAACCTCTCGTTTGCCAGGATGGAAAAGTGTGTGGATGGGTTGTAGAAACATCTGGCTTTTTCACAGTTGACGTAGCCTCCTGCACCATGGTCCAGGTCGTACCTCTTGGCCTCTGTCCATTTTTGCTCTAGCCTCCACCACCACCACCCAGAAGGGGGTGCCCATGGGGGAATGCAGCTCTGGGGCTGAAAGGGGTTCCCTGCCTTTGACTGCTGGAGCTGTCTAGCATTCTTGACAAAATGAGTTTCTTCCCCACCAGCACCGCATGAGCCCCCTCCTCCTGGTGAAGACCAGGAGGAAGCCCTCCTCGCCACCATCCCTGGTGTTTAATATCTGCTGTCAGCCTGTAGCCTTCTTGCACGCGAGACCTCTATAGCTCTTCATATTGAGCTGTCAGCATTCATCCCCTCCAACGTTTTTTCTCCTTCTGTCAGGTGCTGGGATGGTACTCAGCTGAGCAGAGGAGAAATGTAGGAATCTGATATGATATATATATATATATATATATACACACACACACACACACACACACACACACCCTGCTCCCTACTCTGTGCTCAGGGGTGCATCTCTCAGGCTGCATTGAGAAAAGGAGAATTATTGGATGTCATTCTGAAATGGCAGGTGGAAGCGCAGTCTTGGTTGCTTTATCACCTGAAAATTTGGGGAGGCCACCGACAGCTTCTCAGCATTGGTGCTGCCCACTGTAGACCAGTCGCCTTGACCCAAAGAGAAAGCCAGATCAGGACAGACAAGAGTCCAAACGTGGGAAACCGGGCTCTGCCACTCCAGAGGAGCCCCCCTCCTTAAAAAAAAAAAAAAATGCTTGCCGACTTTTATTTAAAGAAAAAGCACTCTCCAAGAAGGAGACAGAGCTGAAGCAGAACATTTCTCCCTAGTGCCTTAGTTTTCTTTCATGTTTGTTGGGGGGGTTGTTTTGTTCTGTTTTGCTTTTTGTTTTCAACAGGGCACACTACTAAAAGCTATAGAAAGAGTCCCCCCACCAGCTGTCTGAAATGGTACACTTCACCCTGCCAGTTCAGGACTGTACCATTCAATTATTCCACTGCATTATGCAGGCCAGGAGGTTGTGTCAGTGGCGTAGCGTGGGTTGTCAGCACCCGGGGCAAGGCAAGTAATTTGCGCCCCCTAACCCGTGGATTTTAGTAGGGGCAGAGAGCTGCGAGTGCGAGCGCGCCCCTCCCCAGATGTTGCACCCGGTGCGGCCGGCCCCCCCTGCACCCCCCACGCTACGCCACTGGGTTGTGTGGTGGGTTGTTGCCACAAACTGCCCTGTACCCCTTTCACACAGAGGGTTTTGGGTCCAGTTAATGAGTTGTGCAGAAACCCAGGGGGGTGATTAAGAAGATATGGACACAGCCAGTTGCTTTGTACCCAAGTCAGAGCATTCTTCCATCTAGTATTGTCTGTGCTAATAGTCAGTGTCCCTCCAAGGTTTCAGCCAAGGGGTCTCACCCAATTCTACCTAGATAATTCATTGGAGATTGAACCTGGGACCTTTTTTTTGCAAGCCCAGACACCCTCCCACTGATCTGCAATGGTCCTTCCCCTATATCATGGTTTGGTGTTTCCCATGAAGTCCAGCTCATCCCCACCAGGCAGAGCAGCAACACAAAGCAGCCTAGTTCACACCTGCCTTCCCTTTCAATGGCTTCATCTTAAAATCAAACACACACACACACACACCGAGCACGGCAGGGAGCATCTCACTCAAGAGCTCAATCATAAACAGAATAACAGACTGGGAATTCATTGATTCTGCCGGCTCCCGATTCATACAGAAGTGCCTTTCTTCCAAAATGTAATAAAAGAGACAAATTGCAGCAATGTGCCACTGCTTTTGAGGCTGGGGCTTTGTTTGTTGAGAAACAAGCGGCTCGACGTGGAGCTGAGATGATGACAAGAACGGCGGCGGGAAATAAACCCCCAAACTCTTTTGTTGCCCATGAATGCAGCGCCGTGGCTGGCATACAACACTCTGGAGTGGCAGAGAAAAGCATTGGGTCTGCACCAGTTGCCTGTCCATGATGCTCTCAAAGAGTTGGCAATGCTGCAGGCAAAGGAACCGGGAGTGAGGGGCTCTGCTCCCAACCCACCTCTCTCTAGATTCAAATGAGCATCCGAATCTGGCAAAGGTGAACTCTTCATTCCTTTGGGGTTCTTCTCCCAAGGCAGAAGAGCATGGCTGGTCTTCTCAAACAGGCCTTGTTCTGATGGACAGCTGTCCCCTGGTCATGGGCTGGGAAGGCATGGCTTGTTCCGTGGCTCCCCACGGAAGGTTCTGGGGGTGGTGGGTCTCACCAGCCCAGCACAAAGCTCTTCCACCTTCCTACAATTGCTACTTGTTCATCCATGAGCCTGGCAGATGGAGCCCTGGACTTCAGAGATGCTGCAGGACCACTACCTCTCCTCCATCACCTGTAAAGCCCTCAAAAATTGTTCACCTGAGGAGGCCTTGCTTGGTACAGCTATTAGAACCTGACCTTCCTGAAGCAACAGCTCCACCACTCTGTTTCGAATGGCACCACCCAGCTCCTTCATTGGCTTCTTCTGAGATGTCATCTCTTGCACCTTTTGTTCTCCTGGTCCCTTTGCCTGCTGCCCTTGGAGCATCTTCCATACCCACCTTGAGCCACACGGCTCACCTCTGGGGCCTCCACAGTGACTCCTTATGCTAGATCATCATGTTAATTCCACACAACATTCTTGTGGAACATGTGCTCCATATTCTAAAGTTTCTCTGCCCACCCAAGTGCTCAAGCAGCCACACCCTCTGTGACATCACAGCAACTGAGCCAATGGCAGCTGGAAGGGCCATGACACTGTGGACTGAGGCAGGGATGGGATCAGAATATGAGAGCCATTTAGGCACTGGCACGCCAAGAGTAAAAGCAAGGAAGAAGAGAGGCCAGGAGGAGTTCTCAAGAAAGAGAGTGATTTACTCCTAAGTATGTTAGGTTTCAGATTGGTGCATAAATTGGCTTAAATGCTGGAGGAGGGGCGCTTGGGGCCATGAGGAAGGTGGTTCAACACCCCTCACTGCCTGTCATACTGATGGGCCCTTAGCTAGTACATTATATATAAAGCATATCTATTATATGAGAAAACTCTGAGTTTCCTGCAGGCCCTCTGTTCCATCAATATACTGGGAAGTGCAAGGAGGGCCTGGGGGAAATCAGAGAAAAGAAGAATCTGATTTTTCCTGGCATTAATCTTAATAAATGTCTCTTGTTCAGGAAAACAATAGTTGGTGAAAAACAGGCCTGCAAATTAGAAATATTTCTTACAAATAGTTTCCCTTCGAGCGTAAGTGTTGGGAGTGCGGCGAAGGACACCGATAAGCTGGGCGGCGGGAGGAGGGAGAGAGGAGAAATGATTTGCATGGCTGCCTCTGGAAGTCAGGCCAGGTTTCCAGGAGAAGTTGGTCAGGGGAGAGGGCTGGGGTGGGGATGCAGTGCTCAGGAGCAGAGGGTATGCTTTGCAATGCAAGGCCCTCTCCCAGCGTCAGGAGCAGCATGAATGAAAGCTGCTCCCCACAATCTTCAATATTTCCTACTTGCAGATGCTAGGGATTGAATTTGGGACATCCTTCATGCAAGGCAAATGTTCTGCTGTTGAGCTATGGCCCTTCCCCACACTCCTACCTGCAGAAGCCGTTTGCTTCATCAGGCTGCAGGAGAAGGACTGCAGGGCCATTCCATTGGTGCAACAGAGAGAGCAACAAATTTTGGTGCCTCTTTTGAGTGTCTTGCTTTGCTGTGGTATTGGGCCTGTGGGGGAAATGGCCATAAATTCCACACCCAGAGAGCTACCAAGGCACCCTACTGGCTGCATTTGGAAAAATGTTGTCTCTTGCAAAGGCTTATGGTCACACCCGGGAGCCTTAAAGGGGCTGACAGTGTTGGATCTTCCGGGACTGGCATTCCTCCTTCTCCTGCAAAAAGAAGCCCTAGGGCAAATCCCTGATCCAAATGGCATCCTCCATGGCACCAAAGCTGCTTTTTTTGAGAGGAAGAGAAAGGAATGCCTTCTGGTCACACAGAGTTCCATGTGATGCAATGAAGTGGATTTACTTTCCCCCAGTTCCATTCTCGTCCTTCTGCTGCCACTGTTTTGTGATCTGCCACCTGGATTTTAGTTTGAGCAGGAGAGTGTCTAAAACAAACATGAGAGGTGCACTCAGCTTAATTTATTTATCTATCGCGCAGATTTACTGCCCGCCCTCCATCGCTGTGGTCCCCCGGGTGGCCTGCAGATCAGAAATTACATAAGAGCCATTAAAACAGCCATAAACTGTAAATCGGCATAAACAATAGGAGCAGCTGAAATAGCAGCTGAAGGGACCAAAGCCACAGAAACTGCACAGGGCTGCCTGTCAAAGCTGAGTGTGAAAGTGACCGTGGTGGGAATGTGCAATGTTCCCCTTGGAAGTACGCTTGGCGCAGATACTGTTATATTTCTGGTGCCAAGCAAAGACAGGCCAGTTTGCCCAGGCATTGTAGGGTGTTGGAGTACTTTTGATATAGATTCTGAATTAATGAACAAGGTATGATTGAAAAAGTGATCTTAAAATAGTGTAGAAAGCTGGTGTGAAAGGCAGTTTTGAGAACCGCAGTCCCATGAGCCAGGACCCTGCCAGCAATGGGGCATAAGAATGTTAGACCATTGCTGGGTCAGCCAATGCACCAGGGCCTGTTGTTTCACTGATCTGTCGGTGCTCCACCAGGAGAATAGCTTTGTATGTACAACCACAAAAAGATGAGTTTTGCAGTGTTGTTACCGATGCACATTTGCATTCATCGGTAGTTGTGAGTTTGTTGGAAGAGATGAATCATCGGAAGGTGGGGTGTGGCAAACTGCCTATCCATGAGGCTTTGTTGGGAAGCCAAAAATAAGAACAAACAGAACCACACAGAGCATTCCTAATCCCATCAGTTTCGCTTTGGGAACTAGGAGTTTTGGAACCCCTGGCTCTGCTGGAAAAGGGATTCAAGATTTTGGGGTCATCTGTAGCTAATACACTGGCGCTCTGAAAATACTGAGGGATCCAGGCGGGCTCCTCTGGGTGATTTATAGGAAAGCCAAAGTGTAAGTCCTTCACAGATTATGCCTTTTGTCTCTGGAGTGGCGTATAGGAGCACAACTCCCAGGCAACATTATATGGGAAACGTAACTGGCCCTGAGTTACATCACTCAAGGGTGCCTGGGTGACGTTCAAGAGCTGTGCTTAAAATGAGAAAGAGGAGCATCCTGGACGCCAGCAATATTTGATGGAAGTAAAGGAAAGACACCTTCAGCAAAGGTTTTTGTTGTGTGTTTTTTAATATCAAGTGATTTCCGCTTGCTTCCCTTTGTGTGCGGGAAGGGTTTTGATGTGCTGCGACATCCTCTTCTTTTTTTTTAAAGGCCCAGAAAGTTCCATAAAACAACCCCAAAGAGCGGAGGAGGGTCTTTCATCTGCTTTCAAGCCATTTCCCCCCAAGGAGATGGAGAAAAGGGGAGGGCGGCAGCATCGAGACTGCAAGGTTACCACAAGGTCACTTGCTACAAAAAAAAAGGAAACTGGGAGGGGGGGGTCTCCTTTCTTTTTAAGAAAATATCCCTATGAACCATTAATGGGTGAAAGCTGGAGAACGTTTGCTTACTGCTCCGTTTTTGGATGTAAAGTTCCAGGGTTTTCCTTTCCTTTTCTTTTTTCTTTAAGAGAGATAAAAAGATGTGCCTTGAACTTTGGTATTGTTGTGTGCTCAGAAATAATGCCAGTCCTTTAAAGTTTGATGAGCTGGGAGCCTGGAGGGGATCAAAGGATTTTGAAAGGGAAGGTTACCATGTGCATTAACAAGGGCCCTTTTGATCCACGAAAGTGCAAGTCCTCCTCTCGCAGACAGGAAGGAAGTACTGGTGGCTAGCCTAACCACTGCACCATTCATGGGGATGATGCCCCCAAATGGCCAAACTGCAGCCATTCATTGAAATGCAGATGATCCAACTGGCAACCTTGGATTCTGCAGCCAACAAACCCAAAGCCAGCATTCATGGGTGTCATGACCTGACAAGTTCACTTCTCTCTGATTCTCTCTCTCTCCCTCCCTCCCTCCCCCGTCTTAAGTTCAATTCTCTACATTTTGCAGCAATTGGGTTTTGGTTTTTTTTAAAAGAAAAATCCTCATGAAAATTCATCAACATTGTAGAGGGCTTTTCACCTTACAAACACATTATTCTTTGATGTTTTGACTAATGTGCATGTTTTTTCCCAAGCAATTTCTCCTAATGTAATGCATTTTTGTTGTTGTTGTTGTCATTTTCTCTACTACCTTTATACACACTTTCCCATAACATGTGCATTTCTGTAAATGTTGGTTGGTCAGAGAGCTGCATCACAAAATTCAGATGAGTGTGGGGTTTTCTTTTTAGGATGGCTACATTTTGGTTCTCACAATTGTTTTGGAAAGTGTGAATTTGACAGATTTGGCTACTGATGCAAACAGAATCAAACCCTAACCCCGAAACTATTCTTAGAGTGACCCCAAAGCCAATATTAAGGAGTGTCAATCAGGGTTAGGTGTCTTCTATGAGCCTCCTCCAAGTATCCTTCAACCCCCAACCAGGGGGAACCTCTGTGTCAGGAGCTCGTCCTACACTCGAGTAGGACCCTGGCAGAGACACATGCCCGACTGGCATGTTCTCTCCCTCCTGGTTGATTGTTTTGTTTTGTTTTTAAAGAATATTTATTCCAATTTTAAGATTACATAGAAAGAAAAAAGCAAAAAAAGAAAAACAAATCACATACATCCTACAGAAAAAGAACAACACACGATACAGAAAAAAATACAAAAGACAAAAAATCACAATCAAAAAATACCAAAAACTCAAATTAAACCATTAGGATCGTTTTCCCATTTACTTATTTCCGTGACTTCCTCTCACTTCTCTGCTTTGTATTCTAATTTGAATCGTATCTCCAGCAAACCCTTCTAACCTTCTTTTCATTTACTTATTTTAACATTCGAAAATATTTAATTCTCCTCTATCTTTTATTTTACACTACATATTTACTTATTCCATTATACTCTGTCTGCCGATACGGTCTAATATTCTTCTCCAACCTCCTCCTGGTTGATTGTTTGGGAGCTTCAAAAGCTTTCTTCAGCCAGAACATCACAGCGACCGATGCCAACAGACACCGGCACACTTAGGGATCCGCAGAGTCTGCGCAGTTCGTGTGACAGACCTCAGCAACTCATCATTTTGGCTAATCTACTTTATTTACATATAAACACACACAGGGCACTGTAACATGGCTCCCTCTCTCTCTAGAATCAGACAGCAAAGAGAAAAAGAACAAAGGACAATAGTCCCACTTCATGGAACACAGTAACACAAACATCCAGTAACACAAACATCCTGTCTCCATCACTTCCCACTTTGTGGAATCAAAACATATACCATCATGTGATAGACAACAATCCCATGACTGCAATCATGGAGCAGGAATTCTAACACTCTGGTACTGTAGCAGGGGGTGTCCAGCTCAAATGTCTCCTCAGGACCACAAGTGGCTGCATGGGAATGTACTGGGGGGGTCTTGCTCCCCCTCGGGAGACCTCAGATTCAAGGTCTGGACAGCACTGACCCCCTGACACAAGGATGGGACATCTGCAAAGAGCTGAACTGCTTCTTTCCTTGGCAACATTCCCCTCCCCAGCCACTGCCCTTGCAAAAGTTCTCTGTGCCAGCTGTGGCTGGTTCTCAGAGGTGATGAAAGTTGCCAAGTGAGGCCTTTCCTGTTTTGTCAGCAACAAGCTGAACTTCCCTGTCACCCCCTAATGTGTTCGCTCTCCGTCTTTCTCTCTCTCGCTCTCTTTCTTCCCCCCCACCCGCCTCAGTCAGTGGCACAGCAAAGTAATATCTGCCGATACTAAGCCATACATCTTGGCGGGTGACAAATCACTTTTTAATTGCCTCAAGGAAGAAATCCATTAGTCTTCCTTTTACGTGAGAATCATAATAACATCAGCTAAACGCAAGATGGATGGGAGCCTCGAGTCAATGGGGTTATGTGAGCAGATGAAACTGCCTCTGACTCGGCCAGGCCCCCGGACCCTCCTGCGGCCTGCCAGCCCCACCTTTTGATGGGCAGTGGCTCTCCAAGGGCTCAGGAGGAGAGGGGGCTCGATCAGCTTGGCTTCCACACACACACACACCCCTCAACACTTTGCAGACATGAACTGCCAAGCGGGTGAGGAACTCGTGGAAGAGGTTTTGAGGGGCACATGTACCTCTTCTAAACTGTTTCGGGCACAGCATTGATCTCAGTAGAGGACAGTGTTCTGCAGCTTTGTCCTGGAAGAAGAGGAAGAGGAAGAAGAAGAGGAAGAAGAAGAAGGAGGAGGAGGAGGAGGAGGAGGAGGAGGAGGGAGTTTTAGCATTCATCAGGGCAACTTCACAGACCCAGCCTGTATAAAGCTCCACAGTACTCCTTTGTGTCACCTTCCAATCCTCCACTGGCAATTGGGGACTGGTGGGGAAAGACTTCCACTTTCCTTTGGCAGGTGCAGAAGATGAAAGGGGGGAAAGGGGAAGGGGGAAGGGGAACACAGAGGTGGATTTGAGTTTCTTATGCATAGGGGAAACTTCTTGAGAAATTCTAGGGGAAACATTATTTTAATAAGTTGGGGGGTGGAAATTGCCTGGTCAAGAACGGAGCTGTTTTGAATGGAGAGTTGATGGCTATTTGTAGCCACTCCTAGGGAAAATGCACTTCAGGGCCTGGCGTTCACAAGCTAGTCTCAATGGCTGCATTCTCTCTCTTCTATTGGAGCCAGTGTGCCTCTGAATGCCAGTTGCTCAGATGGGGAGAGTGCTACTGTTGTGCCCATGCCCTGCTTGGGGGCTTCCCACTGGGGCATCTGGACCAGCAAACAAACCCTTAGACAGCAGACAAGGAAACAAAACTTTCTGAGCTAAACTACTTCCGTTGCATGTGATGTGGGTGCTCCTATGGCTGAATGCTTTCCAATACCCCCGCCTCAACATTTCTAAATCCTGCATGTAGAAAACTAGTGTACCGGGAGAACAGCTCTAGCCTTGCCTTCTTCTCCCCACCTCCCACCCCCACTCCAGACATGCTGTTTTTCTATGTGCAGGGAACTTTGTTTCTGTGGAGGAGCATTCTTCCCACCTTGGATCAAATCTATGCTTCCAGGTGCTATAAGAATGCTGCAGAGATAGTGCAGGATAGTGCACACCCCGGAAATGATCTATTTCAGCTTCTGCCTTCTGGAAGAAGGTACAGGGTTATAAAGACTAGGACTAGCCGCCTGAGAAACAGCGATTTTGGTTTTAAACGCAGTGTAAGGAGTCTCTATGGGAGTATATTGTATTTAAAAATGGGGTATCAGAGTTTTTAGGGGGCTAACCAGGTTGAGATAGCTGGAATAGCAGGCTTGTTAGGTTTTGAATGTTTTGTGTAGATTTTTCAATTTCGTTGTTCTGTATGGGACAATGACAATAAAGATTATTGTATTGTATTCTGTATTGTGACATCCCCCACACACCTGCAGTCTGAAGTGGTGCAGTATAAAAATAGATTTACCCCCTAGTCGACTGCTAGTGAGTCCGAGGTCCTTCTTCTTCAGCATTTAAGTGTGATGTTCTGATGTTTATTGGGTTCCTCATTATGTGTGGTCAGTTATCTGATGATAACACCCTCAGCTTGGTGTCAGAACTCTTACCTGAAGAGCAGCCTGTCACAGGTTGGACACAACCACAGATGCTTCTCCTGGCCCGCTGCATGAAATTAGCTGCAATTAGAGCACCCATTTTTATCTACAGCGTGTTGTTATAGAGAAAAAGAGAGAGGAGGGGTCTCCCTCTCTTTCTCTCTCTGGCAGTAACATCTGTAACTTTCACCATCTCTCCATTCTGGATACGCCTGGGAGCTCATTATGTTTTGAAATATAGAACAAATTACATTTTTTTAGATAATTACCTTAAATGATTAGGCTTATGATATCCCTGATTAGTCAGAAATTTAGGAGGAATCATGAATTTTAGATACGATAATTGGAAACTAATTTTTTCTCTTTCTTGAAGAATGATGGACAGAACATATTTTTTTCCCTCTTTTAAAACTTCCCCCTTTTTTTAAAAAAAAAAATGACAGAATAAAATGTTTGCCCTAAATTTTTCTCTAGGGCTGAAATTGAGTCGCCACGGACCCAGGCTGAACAATCCAAGCAAGAGATACTTAAGTGCATCATGGAAATGTACATCAGGCCCACCCCTGCCCACTCTGAGCCATGTTTTCCTCCCATGTGCTGGAGAGCTGGCCATCAGGAAAAAACATCATTCTTTTGGCCTTAGCCTCTTGCGCACAGAGAGAGTATAGGGATACATGCCTTGCAAGGCTGCTGAGTTGATTGCTGAGACCAGATGTAGAATGCTCTGAGCATTACTATAGGAACCGTGGCTGGTGTTCTTACACCTTCAGATGCTGAGCTCAACAGCATTGTATCGGGGAAAGGGCATGGCTTGTTGATGGAGCACCTCCCTTGCCTTTGAGAAGGTCCCAGGTTTCATCTCCAGGTAGGGCCCAGAATGCCCCCTGCCTGAAACCCTGGAGAGCCACTGCCAATCAGTGTAAGGAATAAAATTGACCAGCAGATCCTTCTCTGTTTTGCTAGCGAGCACTGTCTCCTCTGCATTTGCCTTTCCAACACTTCCAGCAGGAAGGTCCCTCCTCTGCCATTTAGATTCATGGAGACCTCAGCATGGAGGCCAGAAGAAAGCAGGGGGGACCAGGGTTATCGTCCCAGGTGCATGGCTCATGCCACCCTCCCCGAGCTAGCCCTGCACCACTTTGCAAGACTGGGATCTGCGAGCCAATGTGGTATAGTGGTTAAGAGCAGTAGTCTTGTAATCTGGTGAACCGGGTTTGTGTCTCTGCTCCTCCACATGCAGCTGCTGAGTGACCTTGGGCTAGTCACACTTCTCTGAAGTTTCTCAGCCCCACTCACCTCACAGAGTGTTTGTTGTGGGGGAGGAAGGGAAAGGAGAATGTTAGCCGCTTTGAGACTCCTTAGGGTAGTGATAAAGTGGGATATCAAATCCAAACTTCTCCTCCTCCTCCTCCTCTTCTTCTTCTTCTTTGCAAAGTGGCTCAGGGAGGGTGACGTAAGAAGGACGCAGCAGCCGTGCACCCTTCGATCCCAGGGCAAAGCTGGGATTGAAGGGCGCATGGCATCCTTCTCATGCTGTCCTCCCCAAGCCGCTTTGCGAAGCTGAGATCTGATCATTCCAGCCTCGCAAAATGGCTTGAGGCCAGTGTTGCTCTGGCAGCTATGAGGGCTGGGCTGGAGGGCAGTGGGCTCCGTTCACCCTCCTGGCCCCAGGCGCCGTGACGACCTACTCTGCCATTGGGAGGAAGGTAGTGAGGAGAGCAGATACTGCTGCTGCTGCTGGAGCTCCCTTGGTTCCTTCCCATATTCTGGGAAGTGGGACAGGAGCCTTTCCACCCGGCCAGAGCTCTTTCTCGCTGGAGGAGTGAGTTAGATCAAACTCTTAAGAGTGTCTTATAACGAGCAAATGACAGTTTGCATCCCAGGCAATCCCTAATGAAGCCGACTCAAGTCAGGCTGTTCTCACTGAAGGGTGCCAAGCTGTAGGGCAGAGAGATGGATGCCGGCCTCTTCCCTTAATTATCGTATGTCTTGCGCTCTCTCTCTCTCGGGTCTCTTCTTCCTGGTGCTTCCCTCACCGCGGCGCAAGTCACCACAATCTGTAATTAATTACCGGAGCGCCTGCTAGCAGCTATTTTTGAAACAAATACAGGGGGATGTGGCTGCAGAAACAGACTCACAGGCCTGCAGACAGGGAGGGTCCTTGTAGATCCAAAGTTAATTTTCTTGTCCAGCCGACTCTGAGTTGCTTTTCATCTTTCTTTCTCCTTCCTGCCTGAAAGAGACGTGGCCTTGTTTCATCTTTGTTTTTGACATGCTGTCTGGTGTTATGTAAGAAGAACCTTCCGTGTGTACAGTCCAAACCAGCTCGCAACTTGGGCAAGATCTGGTGTGGTCGTTACTAAACCCAGGGCTCCTGGATCCAGGGGCCCCCAGAGGCCTCTCTGGAAATGGAGACACTGGAGTTTGAAATGGAGAAGAAGGTCCTGCTTTGTGGACCAGGAAAGGGCCGAAGGCCTAATTTCCAGTATGTATGCAAGGCCTGTCCAATGCAGAAGTTTCATGCTGCCTGCCACTAAGAACATAAGAAGATCCTGCTGGATCGGCCAATGGGGGCCCATCTAGTCCAGCATTCTGTTCTCACGGTGGCCAACCAGGTGCATGTGGGAGGCAAGCAGGGCCCGAGTGCAAGAACAACACTCCCCACTTGTGGTTCCACTAGATGGCTCAGTCGGTTTGAGCCTGGTGCTGATAACGCCAAGGTTGCAGGTTCAATCCCTGTGTGGGACAGCTGCATATCCTTTCATTGCAGATCCTTTCATGATCCTCAAGGTCCCTTCCAACTCTACAATTCTATGATTCCCAGGAATTGGTATTCAGAAGCATTATTGCTTCCAACCATGGAGGCAAAGCATAGCCATCATGGCTAGGAGCTGTTGGTAGCCTTCTCCTCCATGAATTTGCCTGATCCCTCTAGGTTGGTGGCCATCACTTCCTCCTGTGGGAGCCAGTTCCTTTGCATAGCTATGCCCTGAGGCTGATGCTTAAGATCCTTCTTCCTTACCTTTCTGGGCATAAGAAGGAACCTGAGAACAGAGGGTATAGACCATCTTACCCAACCTGGTGGGTGCCCTCTGGATGTTCGCTGGGCTGATGTGAACTTTAGTCCAGAACATTAGAAGGGGCAGATTTGCAGCATGAGGATCATGACTTCTGTAGCAATTCTTGAGAGAAGGAGAGGGTTTCTGTGACCAACCAGTGATCTAAACACCTCTGCGTCCTCATTTCCTTTGGAGACCATCCCCATCAAGACATTTTTTTTACCAGAGCGGTGTGTTTGCTTTCTCTGTCCTTGAATCATTTCCTAAATTTACTTTTCTAAATGTCATTAACCTGCAATTTCAGGCCTTTCTGAATCTAATAATGTGCTGATGCCTCCATAATTGGTCAGCTAGACAGAATTAGGGAAGGTGACGGGAGCGAGTTTGTGGACAGCAAAATTCAATGGGAGATTCCCTCCTCTTCTCTACCTTTTGTCCCTGGCTTCCATAGCCTTAGAGAGCATGAGATAGCTGAGCAGATAAGAAGAACCCACCATCACTGTTGCTGGCTGTGTGGATCCTGTTAGGTGGAAATGGGTTTTCTTTTATCCACAATGACTAAAGCCTGAATCTAGGAGTTCATCTCCAGCTCAGCTACGTAGTAGACTTCAGTGTTAAGGCTATTGGTCATCACAGCAACAAACAAACTAAATGCATTGTCTCCTATGTTAATGACACTCAGAGTAGATCCATTTAAATTAATAGGCATGACTAACATAGGCCCATTAATTTTAATGGGTCTACTTTAAGTAGAACTTAGTTCGATACCGCCCATGCTTGGTGATTTTTTCCCAAGTCAGGAAGCAGGTTGGTCCGATTTGCACATAACACGGTGCTATGGTTTGTTTAACAAACCACAAGTTAACCACATAGATGATCCAACAAATCACGGCTCGCTTCTCAAAAATGTGGCTTGCTTTCCCGCTGCCCTTTGTAGCTTGGCGATGTCTGGGGTGGAGTGGAGGCTTGGTTAGGGAAGGGTGCGATGCCAGGTCATCATTGAGACAAACCAAGTTTCCTAAGCCAACTGTGCTGTGCCTGCTCAGATTGCTCACTTCAAGGTCCCTCCTTGATGTCCCTTCTGGAGGTTCTTGATCTTGGATCTGACAGCCTTTCAACTAGAGGGTTGTCCTCAGCAAAATAGGACACACAGCCACCCTAAGTTTGGAGAATCATCTTGATCAGGTCAATATTAAGGGAAGCACTGATCAGCAGCAAAAGATCTCCTGTGCCATTTCTTTCTCCCTCACCCCAATTTGGAAATTACAGGCCAGGGAAATGCAGAAGGCAGAGTGAAGGGGCCCACCTCATTCATGCATCATATTTTCGGGGTGTCATGTAAAGACAGCAAATGATTAATTATTTAATTTGTTGTTGCATTTTCTTGGGAGGGGGAGGTAGCCATGTGGTTTTCCACCTAGTCCATTGCTAAAATAACTTGGCAGGCCTCCTCTGCCCCTTGGCTACCCCACTTCAAGCAGAAAAATAGGAACACGGGAAGGTGCCTTGCTAAAGAGTCCATCTAGCTAAGGGTTGTTGACACTGATTGGTCTTGGCTCTTCGGGGTTTCAGGCAGCGAGTCTTTCTCAGCAGCCCTACCTGGAAAGGCCATTGCAGATAGAACCTGGAGAGCCAGTGTGGTATAGTGGTTAAGAGCGGTAGACTCGTAATCTGGTGAACCGGGTTCGCTTCCCCGCTCCTCCACATGCAGCTGCTGGGTGACCTTGGGCTAGTCACACTACTTTGAAGTCTCTCACCCCCACTCACCTCACAGAGTGTTTGTTGTGGAAGAGGAAGGGAAAGGAGAATGTTAGCTGCTTTGAGACTCCTTCGGGTAGTGATAAAGCGGGATATCAAATCCAAACTCTTCTTCTTCTTCTGGGACTTTTTGCGCCATGGAGTTGGTACCCATCACCCCACCAATTGTTTTGTACCAGCACTGGGTGACTCGAGGCTCCTGTTGAGTGGTGATTAATTCAGAGGCTGAGGAGCAGGAATTCTGAGGGCAAAGGAAATGGTTTCTTTGAGACTGGGCAAAGTTTCTCACGGGGATGGCACAGCCCTCGCTTGAATCAAGGAAGCACAGTTCCCCATCACCACCTCTCTTCTCCCGCAAGCAGAAGCTAATGGCTCTGGAAGGAAGTCACATCACATTAACTTGATAACTGCACAGGCAAAGGGGCTCCGCTGCTCCTCCCCTTCCCCACCTTGATAGTTAGAGGAATGATCCCCAGGAAAGCCATAAATTATAACCCAATCACCAGCGAACTTCTGGCATGACCTATCGGGAAGTAACTCCAGTTTCCTGGGGATGGAGAAAGAAGTGGTGGCGTCTGGAAAAGGCAGCTGGACTCTCTGCACTCCTTAGTGCGAATCCTTGCGTGTATCGGCTTGCATCGAAGCGGCCACTTCCTCCTCCTCTTCGCCCAGTCCCTGGTGCAGGTGGCAAGCAGCTGGACAGTTGGTCATGAATAATGCACCGGGTTAAAGGCCGGCGAGGGACCTGTAAGCGGTCAGAAAGGTCACATAAGCGATTGTTAAGGCCTAAACACCGAGCTCCACTGTAGCGGCGTGATTAATTGACGGGATCGCACGAGCTTCTTTGCAGAAGGGCCTCTCGGAAGTTTAACGAATTAGTTCATTAGTTACAGAAAGTTGCTTCTCTGCAGAAACTCCGAGAAGGTCGTTGCTCTCTCTCGGAAACAAGCCGGCCGCGGAACAGCTTGGCTCGGCGCCCCGTCTGGTTCTGCTTGCGTTAACCTCAGAACCTGGAAGTGGAGGGGAAACATCAACTCTATCGTAAGCACAGCGAGGATGATGCAAGGTGACTTTCAAGGGCCACTCGACCTTGGTTTGCATGGCAGCATCATTACACTGTCACCATTGTGTTAATTTATTCCTTTCTTGCTCTCTGGGGTTTTGTTTGTTTTTTCTCCTCATTCCCTGCTTCTCCTCTCTTTTTGGTTCTTCTGCTTTTAGTGTATTAGAGCAAATCTGTGGTCCCTGCTAGGTGATTTATAGGGTGAAGAGGAGCATTAGCACTTTAAGAGTGGTGAAAGTGGTCTGCGGGCACCCTCCCTGCCCTCAAAAATGTGTACCATGCTTCCCTGCCGTGAGGCATGTTTGGGGTGGGAGGGAATGGCTTTGTTGTTTCCAGCTTGATTCAGTTTGAGCAGAGGAAAGATCGTCTGTGGTTAGCGCCTACTGTCCAGTACCTGTGCCGTCACTAACACACCTCCCCCAGCTCCACTCCAGAGACAGGGAACCTTCCACCCCATTTAGAATCTTGGCTGGGAACATCCTGCACATTTTGTGCAAAGCCTCATGTATTTCTGGAAGGGCTCCAGAACTCACTGAGAAGCCAAAGATCAGGGGCCTGTTTCTTAAATGCTTCTACCCCATCTGGAATAGAAGGAGAAACTTGGTTCAATTTGCATGTTAATTCAAACCTACCTAAACCTCACTTTCCAAAACAATGCATGGGCTGAAAGGTTGCTGGCCTTTGAAATTTGCACTTCTCTGAATTTTGCAATGCCATTCCCCAAACAGAGAAATGTAGACCTGAATGCATGAATCCAGGGAACCACAAGTTACTGAAAATTATTTACAAAATGCATTTTATTAGGAGAAAATGTTTGCAAAGTGTGTATAAATTATGCAAAATTGCATACCATAAAATTTGTTTATACATGCAAGTCCTGCTATCAGAACGCTTGTTATCTGAAATCTCAGTTAGCTGAACACAAAGAATTATATCCAAACCTCACTACATGAACTGCTGATTCAGATATCTAAACAGCCAGAGTTTGCCCACTTCCTTACTAGTTTGAGGTTGGCTGATTGGCAGAAGCCATTTCAGGCAGAAACCCTGGAATGTGGGAGGGAGATCAGACAAATTGCTTTTCCCTTTGCTTGGCTTTTGCTGGTTGGCTGCAGCAGTTTCAGGCAGAAACCATGATGGGAGGGAGGGAGATCGGACAAAGCACAGATTAGAAATGATCCCATAGGAAATAATGAAAATCATCAGCTTGTTATGCAAATACTTGCTTATTGAATGATGTTCTATTTGTATTAGGGAAAATGTGCACTGAATAAAAAAAGTTCATAAAGACTTTAAAACTGGTGTAGCAAATTGGACTTAAGATGAGGAAAGTGAGAATGTGGGAGAAACTGATAGTTTCACCCAGTTCCCAGTCTCTAACAGAGGACAGTTATCTGTTTGAAGGGTTGTCAGGCTCAAGTGTGGTTTAAAGAAAAAGAACAACTTGAAAGGAAAGTGGTCAGGGGTGGGTCTTGTCCCCTCCGAGGCCACTGGCACTCCTGTCTAGAATTTGGACAGAAAAAAATGGGATTTATTCCACACTGTGCCCAAACATTTCCAAGCATACTTCTTTGGCCATGGGAAGCATTTTACTGAGCCTGTGTGTGCTTGTTTCATTTGTTTTACTTAACAATTTTCATATCATTCTTGATTGTAATAAAACTTCGAAGGGGGTTGTCAAAAAAGAAAGAAAGAAAACATTAAAATTATCGATAAAGGACGGTTAAAACTGGGCATTGAAAAGCATTCAAGAGATAATTGAAATGAACAGTAGGCCAAAAAGAGATGTCTGGGAGCCTGGCCTGAACGAAAATATTTGATTTGAAGTTCTGTGGGTTTGTGACACCAACTACAAAGCTGGGCTGGGGCTGCAGGTGAAGAAAGAGTCCTTCAAATGCCATATCTGAGTACTTTGCTCCTCATAAGAAATGTCACTTAAGAACGTCCTGGACAGGCCATGCTTTGGCCATTGGATTAAAGCTTCATTATGTCCTCAACAATGGACTACAAGAAGATCAAACCTATCCATTCTTAAGGAAATCAGCCCTGAGTGCTCACTGGAAGGACAGATCCTGAAGCTGAGGCTCCAATACTTTGGCCACCTCATGAGAAGAGAAGACTCCCTGGAAAAGACCTGATGTTGGGAAAGATGCAGGGCACATGGAGAAGGGGACGACAGAGGAAGAGATGGTTGGACAGTGTTCCCGAAGCTACCAGCATGAGTTTGACCAAACTGTGGGAGGCAGTGGAAGACAGGAGTGCCTGGCGTGCTCTTGGTCCATGGGGTCATGAAGAATCGGACACAACTAAATGACTAAACAACAACAACATGTCCTCAACATGGCCTGGTGGCTATCAGTCTTAGCAGGGTGGAAGAGGAGAAGCCATAGGCCTTGTCATAAAGATCCCTGGGTGCCATCCAAGGTGGTTGGAAGGAGGAGGAGGAGGGCCTTTCAGAAGGACCAGTCAGTCCATGATGTTTGTTCAATAACTACAAATTGATTGAAGTGAAACAGGTGCATTGTGACGGTCCTGAGCACATTAGTGGAGGGATAAAGTCACTGTGATCAGATGCCAGCACAAAGCAAATCCTGCCTTTCCGGAATTATTGTAGCATGTTATTGATCACGTAGCTCAGAGGCTCACACATATTTTTCCCAATTGTGCGTTTTATTCAGATGCGGGGCGTGGAAAGCACAGGCCCGTTTGCAGATGGCAAAAAGCAGGAGATGGAGCTGCCCAGGAGGGGGCAAGCCTAGGCTGCAGCTCCAGTTTCACCTCTTGAGTGCCAAACTGGAAGTTTAGGGGTGTGCAGGTGGTCTGCTAGCATCCATGGATGTGTCCCTCCAGAGCAAAACCTGGTTATGTTTCCAACATGTGTCAAAGTGCTTTTGGTAGCAACACACTCTTGTGCATGTTTCATAGAATCATAGAATTGTAGAGCTGGAAGGGCTCTAAGAGGCCTCTGGTCCACCCCCTTATAATGCAGGAATCTCAACTAAAGTGTCCCAGTCGAAAGGTGATTAGATTGGTCTCAACTAGGGCCAGGGCCTTTTCATTACTGGCCCCGACTTGGTGGAACGCTCTGTCACAAGAGCCCTGCGGGACTCGACATCTTTCCGCAGGGCCTGCAAGACAGAGCTGTTCCGCCTGGCCTTTGGTTTGAACTCAGTCTGACCCTTATGTTTCCCTCCCCTTATGGTTTTGATCTATGGGCTACTTTTAAAATGAGGCTGCATTTTAAATTGCATTTTAACCTGTATTTTAAATTGGTTCCCCCCCCCCATTACCTGTATGCTTTTACTGTAATTTTACTGGTGTTAGCTGCCCTGAGCCCGACTCTGGCCAGGGAGGGTTTAGTATAAATAAAAATTATTATTAATTATTATTATCATCATCATCATCATCATCATCATCACCATTATGATAGATGACCATCCAACCTCTGCTTAAAAACCTCCAGTGAAGGAGAGTCCGCCCACTCTTGTGGGAGTCGGTTCCACTGTCGAATAGCTCTTACCGTCAGAAAGTTCTTCCTGGTCTTTAGTCAGAATCTCATTGAAGCCATTGATTCAGGTCCAACCCTCCAGAGCAGGAGAAAACAAGCTTGCCCCATCTTCCTTGAGATATTTGAAAATGCCTATCATATGTTTAGCCTGGATAACAGGAGACTGAGAGGAGATATGATAGCCATCTTCAAATATCTCAAGGGCTGTCACAAGGAGCATGGAGCAAGCTTGTTTTTTCCTGCTCTGTGGGGGTAGGACCTGAACCAATGGCTCCAAGTTACAAGAAAGGAGATTCTGAATAAACAACAGGAAGAACTTTCTGATGGTAAGAAGAAGAAGAAGAAGAAGAAGAAGAAGAAGAAGAAGAGGAGGAGGAGGAGGAGGAGGAGGAGGAGGAGGAGGAGGAGGAGGAGTTTGGATTTGATATCCCGCCTTTCACTCCCTTTAAGGAGTCTCAAAGCAGCTAACATTCTCCTTTCCCTTCCTCCCCCACAACAAACACTCTGTGAGGTGAGTGGGGCTGAGAGACTTCAAAGAAGTGTGACTGGCCCAAGGTCACCCAGCAGCTGCATGTGGAGGAGCGGGGAATCGAACCCGGTTCACCAGATTACGAGACTACCGCTCTTAACCACTACACCACATTGGCTTTCTGTAAAGCCAGCAAAGAGCTGTTTGACAACAGAACAGACTCCCACGAGAGGCGATAGACTCTCCTTCATTGGAGATTTTTTTAAGCAGAGGTTACCCACCACGGGACCTTAGAGTGAAAGGCAGGCAATACATTGTAACAACAACAACAACAAATGTGCATATATTTGGAAAACATATGCATTAAAATTTCAAATATGAGTGAAAACATCATATAGACAAACATTGTATTAGGAAAAAGTACTTGCAAAAATGTTTATATTGGGCAAAACGGCATACAAAATATGCATATTAAATCCTGGTGCATTTTTATGAGGATCTCTTTTTTAAAAAAGCAGATTGATGCAGATATATGATGAAAACGTAAGACTGGAAAAACGAGAAATTGAGAGAAACCAAAATTGACAGAGTCCTCCTCCCCATCATTTTGTCATTTATGCAAAGGAATTCTACCCTGCCTTTCTATTTCTTCTTTTTAGCATTTTTTTCTAATTATGAAATTCATATAAAAAGTCAAATACAAATATAAATACAGATAATATACAGTTAATTATATTTAAGGCACTAAGGTTTCTATAATGTTGTTGGAAATAGAATATTCATAGTTCGATAAGGAATTCCTTCAGTCAAGTATATACATGAATCAAATATATACCAAAAAGAGATATAAAAAGAGACATTAGTCATTTATCCTCCATTTTTTCATACTGCCTGATCTAAACTCCCACACTTCAGCTAGTTATATAGCATTAAACTTCCCCTAAGAATATGGGTTTGTACTTCATTGTTCCATTAAGAGATAAGCAAACGCCAAAATTTCTTTTCTTAGCCTCTCTGACTTTAACCAAGTTGATTAACTTTGTCATCTATGTGATGCCCCAGATTGTAACTAACCAAGATTCTATAGGAGAAATTATTCCCCGGTTCCAACATACAGTACTGCTATTCTGGCTTATTGTTAGCAAATGAGGAATCTTCCTCTGGTGTTTTAATCCTTGAGATATCCAAATAATATTACTGTTGGATATCTCAGGAGGTCACTATCTAAAATATTTTTCACTTCAATCAATACAGGATTCCAAAGTGTTTGGCTTTTTGGACCAGTCCTCATAATGTGAGCTAGATTTTCTCTGGGCATTTTACATTACCTATTGTGGTCACTGGGATTCGGGTGGCGCTGTGGGTAAAACCTCAGCGCCTAGGACTTGCCGATCGCATGGTCGGCGGTTCAAATCCCTGCGGCGGGGTGCGCTCCCGTTGCTCAGTCCCAGCGCCTGCCAACCTAGCAGTTCGAAAGCACCCCCAGGTGCAAGTAGATAAATAGGAACCGCTTACTAGCGGGAAGGTAAACGGCGTTTCCGTGTGCGGCTCTGGCTCGCCAGAGCAGCTTCGTCACGCTGGCCACGTGACCCGGAAGTGTCTGCGGACAGCGCTGGCTCCCGGCCTCTAGAGTGAGATGAGCGCACAACCCTAGAGTCTGTCAAGACTGGCCCATACGGGCATGGGTACCTTTACCTTTACCTTTACTGTGGTTACTGGCTTCTCAGTATATTTCATTCAGTCAAACTGATGCTATGTACTATCTAGTTAGTTAGTTAGTTAGTTAGTTAGTTTTTATTTTTAGAAAGCATTAAGAGATGCATATGTAAGGTAGATCCAGGACCCTGTCTTCAAACCTTACCTGTTGGAACTGCTAATAGCAACTCATGCTACTGTTTGCCTGATATTTACAGCATGAAGGTTCTAGATTAGTGAATGGCTTTTATATCTCTCTCAGAACTCCCTTGGCTTGTCTATTAGACGTAATCAATATTTCAAAGCTTTTTGGATCTCTTAACGAGATGTGGATGCGTTGCAATTTATTTACTATCTTCCTAACTCGAAGGTATGTAAATCAAAGGTAACTGTGCATACTCCAGAGTTTGTTTAACCTGACAGCTAAATGTTTCCAAGGTTTCTCCTGTGAACATGCTCCTAAGTTCAATCAAACCACAGTTCTGCCTCCTAAAGAGCCACATTCCCCAACGACATCTCAGAGTAAGATTGGAAAACACCCTCGTCTGAAATCCTGGAGAGCCACTGCTGCTGGTCTGGTTTGTTTTGGAATAAGTTGGCTTTGTGTGTATTCCTGTGATTCCCAGATCCGCCAGCCCAATAGATTTCTGTGCTGTCTTTTGTTGTGGGATTTTTTTTCACCCTATGAGGTATCGGTTTTCACACCCACGCGGCAGAAAAGTTATCTCAGATAATTTCTCCGAAGCTTTTCTGAGCAACTGCTCCAGTATTTCTGTCATCCAAACACTTGTAGGTGGTAGCTCCTGGCAACCATTGGAAGATGTTTTTCTTTTCTTTTTGGGGGGTGGGGAGCTTGCTGAAGGCAGCTCTTTTCTTCATTCCCTTCCATTACAGCCCAAGGAAAGTCCAGAGAGGGATGATGCTAGGCTCTTGGGGAGGGCAAGAAGTGGACCCCCTCCTGCAACTGGCTCTTTAACGGGTTCATGGCAACTTTATTTAGGCAGATGGCTTTCGAGGTAAACATTGCTGCAAAGAGAAATGACTCTGCTTTATTTGCTCTGACTAACTTGTGACGCAGGTGGTGCTGTGGGTTAAACCGCAGAGCCTAGGGCTTGCTGATCAGAAGGTTGGCGGTTCAAATCCCCGCGACGGGGTGAGCTCCCTTTGCTCAGTCCCTGCTCCTACCAACCCAGCAGTTTGAAAACACACAGTGCAAGTAGATAAATAGGTACCACTCTGGCAGGAAGGTAAACGGCATTTCCATGCGCTTCGCCAGAAGCGGCTTAGTCATCCTGGCCACATGACCCGGAAGCTGTACGCTGGCTCCCTCGGCCAATAAAGCGAGATGAGCACCGCAACCCCAGAGTCGTCCGCGACTGGACCCAACGGTCAGGGGTCCCTTCACCTTTACCTTTAACTTGTGAATAGAGGGTGTTGCTAGGTATTTATGAGGGCTCTGAATATAGGCCCATGATGCAAATGGACGTGCATGTAAAGAGTGCCTCTGGGCAAATGAAGATGGCATTGACTGGTAGTGGGTGAGGGGGGCCACTCACCAGCCCAGTGCTTTGCAGACCCCCAGGCAGCTTGGTGAACAAAGTAAACAGGGGGAAATTGGTTTAAAAAGGGGGTGGCGTTTTTAGTTGAAAAAAAATGAATTCTGAAAAATGGAAAGATGAGGTAGGAGATTTTGGGGTGAATACAGAAGACATGGGGGATAGGAGCCATCTCCAGGGACCAAAGTCCTTTTGCACGCACCTCCCAATATAATATTTGAGGGGGCTGGCCCTCCCCAAAGTTGATGGGCATTGACATTCAAATCGTGTACATTCACCACGTCTTGTGATCAGTTATGTGGGGTGGGGCCTTACCTGTCCCCCATATTTTATTCAAGTTGGCATCCTTAAATGGGAGGGTGAGCCCCCTGGAGACCCTTGAAAATGCCCCTGCCTCCTCTTGACCAGCCCTGAGCCCTGGCTGCAAAAGTGGTCCTCAAGCTGAAGGGACTCTCTCAAGTCCATTTAACAGGAAACAAGGCAGGGAGCTGCGAGGTCCAGGGGATGACCTTTGCCATCGCCTCACCTGGAAGGATTTGAATGGGCCTGGGGGTTCAAGGCCCATCTCTGTCTCCAGGCAGCAGAGTCCTGCTGGAACGTGTGACTGAAAGAGAAAGAAAGATACAGAGCAACACACATACACAGGAAAACACCCTGTCCTGGCTTCCCTGTTCCCTGGGTGTCTTCTACCTTCCTCGATTCCTTCCAGAAGCACCTGCCATTGGTTTGGGGTCTCAAGCAGCCCCCTCCCTGCGTTTGACGGTGCCTTCAGTGGCGCAGTTACAAATGAGGGCTCCGCGGAGAGGAGCGCTCTCGGTTCCCCAGATCACCTTTTCCTTTCTTTTCTGAAGTGCTCAGAAATTGAAGAAACAAGCAGCGCGTCTGGGGAGTTTGACCTAGACAGCTCTATTAGGCTCGCATGTGGAGTTTGAAAAGAGGGAGCGAGAAAACAGTCACCTCCACCTGAATGTCGGGAGGGAGGGAGGTTTTTTCTTCCCTTTCAAGAGGCAGAAGAGTGATGAACAGCACTCACTTCCCCCACCGAGGCACAAAGGATGAGTTCAGCCCTCGCTGTCCCTTGAAGTTTTAACTCCCATCCCCTTCCTCTAAGGAAGCTCATTAAAATGTATTTAGGGACAATTTTTTTTGTCCTCCTAAATTCACATGCGTTAACTCCATCTGTGCTGCTGAGATTGGAGGGTTTCTGATCCTGCCAGGCATACTAGGACTGCCCGCCATGTGTGAATGTGAGTGACACGCAGGAGGGGAGTGGCAGATTCATGGTACTCACAGCAACACACCCTCACAGCCATGCCCACTTCTGAGATTATGCAACCTTCTCAGAATATACAATAATCTTATAGTTACACAATAATAATAATGAGGCATGCATTGCAACAGATCTCCGCGTGTTCCCTTTCCACTACATCTACAACTAATCCAGAATGCGGCAGCTAGACTGGTGACTGGGAGCGGCTGCAGAGACCATATAACACTGGTTTTGAAAGACCTACACTGGCTCCCAGTACGTTTCCGAGCACAATTCAAAATGTTGGTGCTGACCTTTAAAGCCCTAAACAGCCTCGGTCCAGTACACCTGAAGGAGTGTCTCCACCTCCATCGTTCTGCCCAGACACTGAGGTCCAGCGCCGAGGGCCTTCTGGCGGTTCCCTCGCTATGAGAAGCCAAGTTACAGGGAACCAGGCAGAGGGCCTTTTTGGTAGTGGCACCCGCCCTGTGGAACGCCCTCCCACCAGGTGTCAAAGAGAAAAATAATTACCAAACTTTTAGAAGACATCTGAAGGCAGCCCTGTTTAGGGACGCTTTTAATGTTTAATAGGTTATTGTATTTTAGTGTTCTGTTGGAAGCCGCCCACAGTGGCTGGGGAAACCCAGCCAGATGGGCGGGGTATAAATAACAAATTCTTATTATTATTATTATTATTACAATTTCCTGTGCACATACATGGGCAAATGATTTGGACTACTCCAGTTTCTTTTTTCAGAGTGACTTAAGTTGCGCTTTCCCCAAAGTTCCATTGCACATGACAGAATTTGTGCACTGCTCTCCTGTGAAACCCCCCTTGCTTTTTCAGCGTAACTAAATGCTTAGCTCTTGGAGAGTACAGAATGATGATTCATAGAATCGTAGAGTTGGAAGGGACCCTGAGGATCATATAGTTCAGTCCCCTGCAAGGCAGGAAAATGCAGCTGCCCCCCATACAGGTATCGAAACTGTGATCTCGGCGTTATCAGCATCATGCTCAAACCAACTGAGCCATCCGGTCTGATTCCTCTTTGTTCTTCCTGCATGCCTTCTCCAGAGAGTGGCCCTAGGAGCCAGTCCTCGCCCCCTTTCGCTCTGATTGGCTCCAAACAGCACAAGGAAAGGAGAAGACTTATTCTTAGTGGCTAGAAAGAACGCCTTTCATGTTATTTGGGGGAGGCTCTAGGATGATGAAAACAGGGACTTAGCTGCAGAAATAGTACAGTGCTACCTCGGGTTAAGAACTTAATTCGTTTTGGAGGTCTGTTCTTAACCTGAAACTGTTCTTAACCTGAGGTACCACTTTAGCTAATAGGACCTCCTGCTGCCACTGCGCGATTTCTGTTCTCATCCTGAAGCAAAGTTCTTAACCCGAGGTACTATTTCTGGGTCAGTGGAATCTGTAACCTGAAGCGTCTGTAACCTGAAGCGTCTGTTACCCGAGGTACCATTGTAATGGGTTTTTGAACACCACCACCCCAACCCCAGGGGACGCGGGTGGCGCTGTGGGTTAAACCACAGAGCCTAGGACTTGCCGAGCAGAAGGTCGGCGGTTCGAATCCCTGCGACGGGGTGAGCTCCCGTTGCTCTGTCCCTGCTCCTGCCAACCTAGCAGTTCGAAAGCACGTCAAAGTGCAAGTACATAAATAGGTACCACTCCAGCGAGAAGGTAAACGGTGTTTCCGTGTGCTGCTCTGGTTCACCAGAAGTGGCTTAGTCATGCTGGCCACATGACCCGGAAGCTGTACGCCGGCTCCCTCGGCCAGTAAAGTGTGATGAGCGCCGCAACCCCAGAGTTGTCCGCGACTGGACCTAATGGTCAGGGGTCCCTTTACCTTTACCCCAACCCCAGACCCCTGCACCTCTGGCCACATGAAGAACATGCCAAACCCTCCTCATCCAGTTAGCAAACTGAGGGACCACCAAGCAGGTGGTACAGTTGCAATGGGAACTGTGGTTTGGTCTCTTTTCAGCTTTGTACCTTGTGTTTTGCAGCAAGGCTTCAGCTGCCCCTGGGACCCGGGTCTCCCTTGGCTGGTAGTGGCTGGCTGAGGGTCCCCTCAGGCTGAGGGAGGGGCTGATGAGGGGGCTTGTTGCCCAGTGCCCCCTGGACATGAGGCCCGGTGGACGAGGCGGCCACCTGTTCATTTTCTCACTCGCTCTCCCCCCCCCTTAATTTGAAGCAGTTTCCTTCCACCCTGCCCACTTATTGTCACAGGTTGAAATTAATGTCCTCTGATATAGAGGCAGGCAGCAAAACAATACCGTCAGAATTAGAGAGTAATTTTGGTCGCTGTAGTCATTAAGATAAAAGGCCCGTTAATGAGCAGTAGAGCCTTATTTGGTTCTGGTATCTTAATTTAATTGGATTTAAAAGCAGAAAAGAAAACCCAGGAATGCGAGGGGAGGAGGCAAGGGGGACAGCACCCTCACGTTGTGTTCATTGAAGCCTTCCTTACACAAATCTCCGCAGAATCAACACCAGGCACCTCTAAAATCAGCAAATTTCACCGGAGATGACAAGACATGTTTGTTGGCTTCCACAGAGGAAACTTCCAGCCTGTTCTTTCTTTCTTTCTTTCTTTCTTTCTTTCTTTCTTTCTTTCTTTCTTTCTTTCTCTCTCTCTCTTTCTTTCTTTCTTTCTTTCTTTCAATATATTTTATAAAATTTCCACAAATTTCACATAAAATCCCAACACATAATAATTTTTTCTTTTGTTTTACTGACTTCCTATCTCATTTTCCGTGGGGGTTGTTATTATTATTATTATTCTGTCTTGCTTTACCCCATCTTCACTCTTTTTTGTCATAACTATAATACAATAATCTCTAATTATTTCTGTTCCTCTATAGTTCAAATCCTGCTCATCATCACATTATAATATTCGTCATATTATAATAGGTCTTTAAATAGCCCAAAAAAAGGCTTCCATTCTTCCATAAAACCGTCATCCTTAAGTTCTCTTATTTTGGCTGCTAGCTTTGCAGGTCCAGCCTGTGCTGTTTCTGTCTGATGTGCAACCACATGAAACATGGACCTGGTCGGATACCTGGATGGCCGCTTCTGGCTGCCCATTCATTTGCCCTGAGAAACAGCTCAACTCTCCTGCTGCTGTTTCCCCTTGACATCCTTGTAAGAGGAGCTGTCACAGATTGAACCAGGGACCACCTGCCTGCCTCTCAGGTGCCCCAGGAGGGAGCTGTCGCCTCCACCCCCCTCAAGTAGATCTTCTCTGGAGATAAATGGTTTGCTTGAGGGAGAAGGTCAGTGAGGAGTGTGTCAGATCCGGACAGGAGCAGATAAAAGCATCAGAGCCGTCACTAGCAGCTCAGATGCTCAAGGTTCTGTATCCCTCCCCCCCCCCGAGCCACGCAAAAATAAAAGAAACAGGGTGATCAAATGCAATAAGTTTTTTAAAAAGCAAGTTGTTTTAAACAATAGTTACCTCTGCACCAGGGACATGGGTGGCGCTGTGGGTTAAACCACAGAGCCTAGGGCTTGCTGATCAGAAGGTCGGCGGTTCGAATCCCCGCAGTGGGGTGAGCTCCCATTGTTTGGACCCAGCTCCTGCCAACCTAGCAGTTCGAAAACACGTCAAAGTGCAAGTAGATAAATAGGTACCGCTCTGGCGGGAAGGTAAACGGCATTTCCGTGCGCTGCTCTGGTTCGCCAGAAGCAGCTTAGTCATACTGGCCACATGACTCGGAAGCTGTACACCGGCTTCCTTGGCCAATAAAGCGAGATGAGCGCCGCAACCCCAGAGTCGGTCACGACTGGACCTAATGGTCAGGGGTCCCTTTACCTTTTTACCTCTGCACCAACTCCTGTGGAGGAACGATGACGAGGTAGTGAGTTGAGAATTATCATGCATCTATAAAGATATCACTGGGCACTTGGGGGGGGGGGATTTTCCAGGGGAGAAAGCAGATGGTGCTGTCGAAGCCCTGGTCTCGTTATGGGATGGTAAGATGAAGTGGGCTCCTCATTGGCATACTGGAGCCCAACTGGTTTCCTGGTATTCTAAAAGCTTTGGGCTATGAAGAAGACCAAAGGCTAGCGCTTGATTGGCAGAAGTCTTGCTCCAAAGCTGACTGGATAGTGCGAGCTGCAAAAAAGGCTCATCTCTGGCCAGTTGCTTGGAAACTGAGGTCTCTCAGAGAAGGAGCAGGGGTAAGAGGGCCACCACCACATCTCAGGAGACCTCCACCTCTGAAGGGTGTTTGGATCTCTACATACCTGGCCCAAGAGGACTGGAGGTCCTCACACCAGCTGCCTGGGTTCTCCTCCCAGGAGTGGAGGAGATGCTGAGTGAGGAAGGAGCTTCAGGGCTGCTGTCAAAGTGTCCAGCTGGCTGTGCATGAGGCCGCTCAGGAGGGAGGGGAAGCACATGCTTAGATCAGGGCCTCAAGCTCCTAGCCGAGGTCCGAAACCTGAGCTTCCTTGCTGAAGCTCCAGGATCCAGACTTCCTGACCTGTGGAAGCAAACCTTCCCAATGGCAACTGCTGGCTGCAGTTGTAGTTGTAGTCCAATACACTGAGGGGGGAAAGTATTTGATCCCCTGCTAAATTTGCCTGTTTGCCCTCTGACGAAGAAATGACCAGTCCATAATTTTACTGGTAGTTTTATTGTAGCTGTGAGAGGCAGAATAACAACAGGAAAAACCCCAGAAACCCAGAAGATAAAAGTCAGAGACTGACATGCATTATAACGAGTGAAATAAGTATTTGATCCCTTTGCAAAAAGTGACTTAGTACTTGGTGGCAAAACCCTTGTTGGCAATTGCAGAGGTCAGACGTTTCTTGTAGGTGGCCACCAAGTTTGCACACATCTCAGGAGGTATTTTGTCCCACTCCTCTTTGCAGATCCTCTCCAAGTCAGTAAGATTTCGAGGCTGATGTGTAGCTACTCAAACCTTCGGCTCGAGTAAACGGGCAAATTTAGCAGGGGATCAAATACTTTCCCCCCTCACTGTACATCTGGAAGGAACCAAGTTGTGGAAGACTGTCTTTGAAGAGGGGTGGCCAATAAAATGTCCTTCAGGTGTGGCTAGGCTCCCATCTCCCATCACCCCTGATCATGTGTTATTCTGGGCTCTGGGACTGGCAGATACTCAAGTGTCGAGTGTCAAGTCCCAGTGAGGCCTGAGCCACAGAAGGCTGTTGTCAGCTCAAAGCAGGAAGGGAAGGTCTTCCCTTTTGCCCAGCAAAGGTGATGCAATAAAACCTCCAGGCCAGCTAAGGAGGGGGGGAGTGAAGGAAGGGCCCCCACCTGCCCTGCTTCTTGCGCAGCAAACAGGCCCCCATTCCACAGCAGAAGGCCATCCATCACTCCCCCAGTGTTTTCTACTTCAGGAGAAATGAAATGTGGGACTGGAAGAATTATGGTGTTGACAGCTGCTTGGTGCCAGGTGTTTATGCAAATACTCACGGTGGCTTTTGTCCCTGCAGCTGCAAATGACAAATGCAGGCCTTGGAAAAAAAGACCCTCCCGCATTTTCCCATCCAAGACTAGCACAAAGCGCTGGAGGCATCAGCCTCCCCACTGCTGGGAGGTGTGTACATGTGTGTTTCTGCATTGCATAAAATAATTGCAGCCTATAAAACCAGTTTCCATCATTCTGCCCAATGCTCCCTCCTTTATATCACAAGAACATAGGAAGCTGGCTTTTAGCATTAGGCCGTTGGTCCATGATTCGGCAGTGATTGCCTATGTCTCAAGCAGAAGTCTTCTCCATCCCTAACCTGGAGCTCACTGGGGTTCAGCCTGAGACATTCTGCATGCACAGCCTGGGATCTCTTAAGCCTCACTGCAGACTTTTTGCAGAAGGGTGGTTTCAAAGCAACAGGTAGTTCGGCCTCGGAATGATTTGCAGCAGATCGGCAAAGGTTTCTGACCTAGCAACAGCAAAATTAAATTCGGCTTTCAAAATAAAGGAAGCTAACCAGGAGTGTGGATGTTTTATGAAAAAGTGCTATGAGCTCAGTTCTGCTGAAAAGAAGTCCCTCGGTTCATACTAGGC